GGACAAAAACGTCATCGTATATAGACGAGAAGTGAGAATGGATGAATGAACTATGAAAGAGTTGGGTACAAGTACTAACCCTAATTGGGTTGTACCCCTTATGGGCTACCCCACTACAGCCTACACAAACATATAAGCTATAATGTTCTGACACACCCCCAAGTGGGGGAGAACAAGTGGTCACAAGACCAGTCAAGCAAAGCGAAGCAAAGCAAAGAAAAGCAAGCTCAGGGTGGATCACAAAGTCACCACACAGTCCGAGCACAAGAGTAAGGCCACAAGGCAAGTTCACATGCAAGAACAAATATATAAAGGTAAACAAGCAAGTGCAGGTATAGAAAGAGTACAGTACAAACAAGATCAAGAAGTGAGCACGTGAGGCCAAGAAGGCACAAGACCTAGCAAAGTACAGAAGCGTTGATGATCACAAGGCGGAAGGGCCTTGGTGAAGATATCAGCAGTGTTGGCCTCAGAGGCCACGTAGGTGAGACGGAGCTGACCACGCTGCTGCAGCTCACAAGCCAGGAAGTAGCGGAGAGCAATGTGCTCCGTTCTGTGCTCCAGTCTGTGCTTCCGACACAAGTCCAGCATGGCCTTGTAGTCTACGTACTCAACTGGAGGAGAACGAGGCGGCTCTCCTAGGTCACTCAGCACGTAGGTGAGCCAGCATAGCTCCTGTGCAGCCATGGCCCCTGCGTAGATCTCAGCCTCACAGCTAGAGCCGAGAACAGAAGAAGAGCGGGTAGACCGCCACAAAACAGAGCCGGAGCCAAGGCTGAAGGTGTAACCCTGTGACGACCGCTGCAGAGCCTAGTCGTCAGCCCAAGAAGCGTCAGCGTGACCTGTGAGGACTACTCGACGTCGCCCTCCAAGCACTAGCCCCATGCCCGACGTACTGCACACGTAGCGCAACACCCTCTTTGCTGCAGCCATGTGCTCTGGTCTGTGTCTCCAAGGAGCAACATAGCGTGCTAAGATGCTAAGAGGGTATGCAAGGTCAGGTCGTGTGCAGGTCATCAGGTACATGAGGCAGCCAGCAAGCTCTGGGTACGGGCCACTCGACTCTACGGACTCATCCGAAGGCAGAGCAGAGAGCGAGTGGCGAGTAGACAGAGGAGTGGCCTGTGGCGAGGAGTACGTGAAGCCGAAGCGCTGAAGGACCTGCTGCACCTTGTGTGACGGAGTCAGGGTAATGGTGCGCTGTGCTCTATCCCGAGTGATCTGCAAGCCAAGGTAGCTGCGCAGTTCACCCAGGTCTGTGCACGTGTGTCTCTTCTGCAGCTCGGACTTCATGTGGGTGAGTCCAGCAATGTCAGCAGTGGCACAGACCAAGTTGTCGTCGTACACGAGGATGTGGAACGGCGGCAAAGAAGTGTTGGTGCGCAGAAACAGCGACGGGTCGGTAGTAGAAGGAGCAAACCCAAGAGCCGCAAGTGTAGTCCTCAGTGTGTCGTGCCACTCACGGAGCGCCTGGCGGAGACCATAGACTGGCCGCCGGAGGCTCCACTGGGTACCAGGAGGAAACGACCCAGTGAAGCCAGGAGGGTGGCGCAGCCAGATATCCTCGTGCAGGCTGCCCTGCAAGAAAGCTGTGCTGTAGTCAAGAGAGTGAAGCTCATAGTCGCGCTGAGCGGCTATGTGCAGCAGCATCCGAAGAGTGGTCATCTTCGAGGTGGGAGAGAAGGTCTGAAAGTAGTCAACTCCCTGCCGCTGACTGAAGCCTCGAGCCACGTAACACGCCTTGAAGACAGGCGGAGAGCCCGGCGGCCGCTTCACCCTGAAAATCCACATCCCACTGACGATGTTCGCCCCAAGTGGGGGAACCTCGTCGACATAGGTGCCTGTGGACTTCCAGGAAGCCATCTCTGCGTCCATGGCCGACTTCCACTGAGAGGAGTAGGGACCCTCGATCGAGGAGTCGGGATGTCTCGTGCATCCGGGTCTCCCTCAGGGGCAATAAGCGTGGACACAAGATGGGGCAAAGCAGCCGCAAAGCACTGGAACTCCTCCTGCCTGTCCTAAAAGGCGTCCGTGCTAAGAGCACGCTCACCCCCGATGGACGGAGGACAGACAGACTCAGATTCAGCAACGAGACTGGCAGCATAGTCTAGACGACAGCGAGCAGCGAATTCGACAAGCTCAGCAACTAGAGCCGACGCAGCAGTGGACTCAAAGGAAGGGTCAGGGACAATAGTAGCAAGAAGGCGCGTGACCGAAGGACTAGCAGTACGAAGGGAGTCAGACTCCCGGTCAACAAGAGAAGGAAGAGAGGACTCTGGAGGAGACGGCAAAGGAACAGGCAGAGGAGCACTGGAAGGTCGCAATGCCATCTGGTGTGTGCCGGGGACCGCAGGAGCACGTGGACGCGCACCACGATGACTAGTGCGAGCAGCACGAACAGGCGACGCAGGACGAGACGCAGGCTCACGAGGCTTAGCAAGACCTCCAGTAGGACAAGTGTAGGGAGAAGGAGCAGGTAGCGGGGAGGCAGGCTGTAACTGTGAGTGCGACTGGACTGGGTGCGAACACTCTAAGGGAGGAGCAGGACCAGGAGAGGGCGGTAGACCAAGAACCTGCTCTAGGAGCGGAACGACCCAGTGAAGCCAGGAGGGTGGCGCAGCCAGATCTCCTCGTGCAGGCTGCCCTGCAAGAAAGCTGTGCTGAAGTCAAGAGAGCGAAGCTCGTATTCGCGCTGAGCGGCTATGTGCAGCAGCACCCGAAGAGTGGTCATCTTCGGGGTGGGAGAGAAGGTCTTGAAGTAGTCAACTCCCTGCCGATGACTGAAGCCTCGAGCCACGTAACGCGCCTTGAAGACAGGCGGAGAACCCGGCGGCCGCTTCACCCTGAAAATCCACATCCCACTGACGATGTTCGCCCCAAGTGAGGGAACCTCGTCGACGTAGGTGCCTGTGGACTTCCAGGAAACCATCTCTGCATCCATGGCCGACTGCCACTGAGAGGAGTAGGGACCCTCGATCGCCTGAGCGTACGATCGAGGAGTCGGGATGTCTGGTGCATCCGGGTCTCCCTCAGGGGCAATCAGCGTGGACACAAGATGGGGCAAAGCAGCCGCAAAGCACTGGAACTCCTCCTGCCTGTCCTAAAGGACGTCCGTGCTAAGAACACACTCACCCCCGACGGACGGAGGACAGACAGACTCCGACTCAGCAACGAGACTGGCAGCGTAGTCTAGACGACAGCGAGCAGCGAAGTCGACAAGCTCAGCAACAAGAACCGACGCAGTAGTGGACTCAAAGGAAGGGTCAGGGACAACAGTAGCAAGAAGGCGCGTGACCAAAGGACTAGCAGCACGAAGGGAGTTAGACTCCCGGTCAGCAAGAGAATGAAGAGAGGACTCTGGAGGAGACGGCAAAGGGACACGCAGAGGAGCAGTGGAAGGACGCAGTGCCATCTAGTGTGTGCCGGGGACCGCAGGAGGACGCGGACGCGCACCACGATGAGTAGTGCGAGCAGCACAAACAGGCGACGCAGGACAAGACGCAGGCTCACGACGCTCAGCAAGACCTCTAATAGGACTAGTGTAGGGAGAAGGAGCAGGTAGCGGGGAGGCAGGCTGTAACTGTGAGTGCGACTGGACTGGGTGCGAACACTCTAAGGGAGGAGCAGGACCAGGAGAGGGCGCGAGACCAAGAACCTGCTCCACGAGCGGAAGGAAGTACGGCCTCGGCTGCACAGCGCCTCCACAACCAGCAAGGATGGCACCAGTACCCCCAACGGCAGCACTTGCGCCAGCAGAACCTCCAGCTCCAACAGCGCCAACTCCAGCACCCTCAGAAGCACCAGCGCCAGCAGCACCGCCAGCGCCAACGCCCCCAGCAGCTCTAGCTCCAGCAGCACCAACTCCAGTAGGACCATCAACACCAGCAGCCTCAGCAGCACCCCGAGACGCACCAGCACCTGTAGAAACACCAGCGCCAACACCCCCAGCAGCTCCACCTCCAGCAGCACTAGCACCGACAGCAGCTCCAGTAGAACCAACACCAGTAGCTCAAGGAGCACCCCCAGACTCAGTAGCACGTCTTCAGCGGCGGGCGAACCACTCGCGCAGCTCCTGTGGAGAGAGCGGCTCCCGCCTTGACGAAGCACCGCCGGCCGCCACACGGGCAGACCCAGCACCCCTAGGCTCCGCACCCCAAGGCTCAACACCCCCACGCTCAGCACCCCCAGGCTCAGCACCCCCAGACTCAGCACCCCCAGTCTTAGCACCCCCAGACCTAGCACCCCCAAACCCGGCACCCGTAGGCTCAGCACCTCTAGCAGCACCAGAGTCAACAGCTACCTCGACAGGCTCTACTGCGTCTACCTGGGACACACCTGACGGGGCACGACCCTGAGGGCGGAGGGGGTCTATCTGGGTAGCACCTGGCGTAAGGAAGAGCGGCGGCGGGGGGAGGGGCGCAGTGCGGTAGAGGAAGAGACGGTAGTAAGGCACCGCCTCGTCAAAGGTGACGTCCCGGGAGGACAGAATACGGCGCGTGGAGGGGTGGTAAAACTGCCAGCCAGGCGCGTCGGGGGGTTGAAGCCAAGGAAGACGCAGGGAACAGCATGGGGGGACAGCTTGTTCGCAGACAAGTCGCGGACAAACGCCCGAGATCCCCAGACCCGAAACGCAGACGCATCGCCAACCTTCCCGGTCCACCGCAAGGCGGGGGAGGTCTCTGGCAAGGAGACCCGGGGCTCAAGGTTGAGCTGATGCGCGGCGTACTGAACCGCAAACGGCCACAGAAAATGGGGGGCAGCTGCATGCATCATGGACGTACGAGCGACGTCCATGACCATGCCAATGCGGCGCTCAGCAATCCCATTTTTCTGTGGAGAGGCCGGAAGCGTGAAGGTCTGGCGGATGCCCTGTGCACGACAGAAGGCTCCCAGACAGACAGAGGAAAACTCCCCGCCTCTGTCCGAGTGCAGATGCAGAACAGGTAAGTCCGAGCCGAAACTCTCTCTAAGCTGGAGACGAGTTGCGCGGATCCAGTCGATCAAAACTCGGAGGAGTGAGGGGCGGCACGCTGTCGCCCCTCGATGAAGGGGACGCACGTAGGGCCAGGCCCCGAAGGAAGGGGAGGGAGAGACCGAGGGAGACCAGAGACAAGGACACGGGAGGCCATGCCTTGAAGACGAGGCAAGGAGGGGTGACCAAGGCGGTGGTGCCAAAGGAGAGTCTGGTGGGACAGCAGACGACACGAGCCAGGGGCAGACTCAGGACCAGACCTGGACGCTGCAGCAAACACCTGACTCGACGCAGCTACCTGGGCAGACTCAGCAGTAGGAGGAGACTCAGTAGTAAGGGTGTACAGGCTCGACCCTGGCCAATGGGTGAACGTGGCCAAGTGTCGGCATGTCCGAGCACACGTGCAGTGGGTCACTCGCTAACTCGTAGGAGTGAACTGGTCAACCCCTCGATCCTGTAGGTCCGCTCCACTCACCAAGTTTGTAGAGAACGAGGGGAGGTAGAGACCAGATAGGGTGCCAGAGGGGGCTGCAAGGCACGGCAGGACAGTGGAGAAGCTAGCAAGGACAGGACCCCCAGAGGGGTCTGCCAGGGAGACTGCAACCGGCCGACTAAGCGGCGTAAGAGTAGTGCGGTCTCGAAAGAAGGAACGGGACGCACCCAAGTCCATGGTGAAGGTGTGGAAGGCCTGAGCCGACGTAGTACCTGAGAGAGCAGCCTCAACAGCACCTGGGGCGGCAGACGCACTTGCACCTGGGGCAGCAGACGCACTAGCACCTAGAGCAGCAGCCTCACCAGCACCTAGAGCAGCAGCCTCAATGCCCGCGTCAGGCGGTACACACAGGTAACAGTCACCCTCAACACTATCAGCAACAGCATACATGGCAGCAAGAATAGCATCAAAGTCAAGATCAAAGATAGCAACTCCGGCCTTAGCCAGATCTCCCCAGCAAGGGATCTCTAACGCCTCAGGGAACTGGCGACGCCACGCGTCAATGAGGCGACCACAGCAGCGTTGGGTGGAGTGCGGGCCTCCGCACTGCTCACCAGTGCGGTCGCCGGTACGGAGAACGTAAGAGCAGGGACCAAAACCCCCACCACGCTGGCGTGCAGTGTACCACTCACGAAGCTGCTGAGGGGACAGTGTCACACCACTCCCCTGCTGCTGCTAGCGCTGACCACCACCGGTGCCACTGCTTTGCGCAGAGTCGCGACTCGCGCCACCACCGCCGCCTCCGCCGCCGCCACTGCCTCCGCCGCCTCCGCTGCCTCCTCCACCTCCCCCTCCTCCACTACCTCCGCCGCCTCCGCTCCCTCCGCCACCTCCACCGCCGCCGCCGCCTCCACTGCTGCCGCCGCCGCCGCCACCCCCGGCACCACTCCCACCACCACCCCCACTCCCTCCACTACCTCCACCACCACCTCCACCGCCCCCTCCAGCCCCTCTAGTGCCCTTGCCCCCCTTGCCCTTGCCGGTGCGGCGTCTCCCGCTCGGGGCAGACGCAGTGCCGACTGACTCGAAACCAACGAGGTCGGCCGCAGCAGCAGAGGCAACAGAGGGCAAGAGGGGGGAGGGAGAACACCCCTCAAAGACGGGGGTTCGAGGGTCACCACGAGAGGCTCCTACAGCGGCTATGCTCTTCTCTATCGCTAGGAGGGCCTTCTCGAGGAGGTCAACGGTGAGAGTGGTGGGGCAAACAGAGAGGAAATGGTCCCTGACTACCCGAAGAGAGTCAGGGAGCCGGGTGACTATGTAGTAGAGGGTGATGTACATGGGGGGGGGGTTCTTGGCGCAGAACTCAGCAGGAAGCGCAGCGCGGTAGCGAGTGTCACTAGTGCGGAGGTGCGTAATGAGGTCAGCGATAGTGGGAAAGGCAGCAAGGTCAGGGAAGAGGAACGGTAGCATGAGGCGGCTCAGTGCAGCAGTGGCAGGGGAAGAGTAGCGTGCGACTACAGCGTCGTACAAGGTCTGAGCACTCTTGTACTGGCTAATGTGTGCACGCTCAGTGGTCGGTAAGTGACGGCGCACAGCAAGGCGAGCAGCAGCATCACGTATGGCCCACTGTGAGCGAGCAGTGGCGTCAGCATCAGCAGCCGGGGCAAGGGAGGCACCAGAAATGAGGTCAAACAGGGAGAGGCCGTCTGCCCTATCGCACTGCAGGAAAAGCTGCAGATGATCTACCCAGACCTCAAAGTGAACTGCCCGACCCTCAGCGTCAAAGGTGAGAACGCTAGGGGAGGCCATAACAGCAGTAGGCAGGCAGTGAGAACAGTGGGGCAGGGCAGTGCAGTTGTAGAGACTATGCTCTTACCAGGCAAGAGGGGCGATCGGGCTGCTCGGCGGCTCGGCTGTCGGGCGGCTTGGCTGTCGGGCGGCTCGGCTGCACGGTGCTGGGCGGCTCGCCTGTCGGGCGGCTCGGCTGCTGGGCGGCTCGGCTGCTGGGCGGCTCGGCTGCACGGTGCTGGGCGGCTCGGCTGTCGGGCGGCTCGGCTTCTGGGCGGCTCGGTTGCTGGGCGGCTCGGCGGTCGGGCGACTCGTGTGCTGGGCGGCTCGGTGGTCGGGCGGCTCAGCTGGCTGGCGGTTCGGCTGCTCGGCAAGGGTGGGCGGGGCCGAAGGTGACGACGGGGCCGTAGGTGGCGGCGCGGCCGCAGGTGTCGGCGAGGCCGCAAAGGGGCCGCAAAGGGGGCCGTAGCGGGGCCGTAAAGGGGGCCAGGCGGGGCCGTAAGCGGTACGACAGAGCCGCGGAGGGGACCTAAGTGGGGCCGTGAAGGGGCCGTGAGGGGCCAAGCGGGGCCGTGACGGGGCCTAGGCGGGGCCGTAAGGGGTACGATGGGGCCGCGGAGGGGCCTAAGCGGGGCCGTGAAGGGGCCGTGAGGGTCCAAGCGGGGCTGGGACGGGGCCTAGGCGGGGCCGTAAGGGGTATGACGGGGCCGTGAGGGGCCTAAGCGGGGCCGCGACGAGGCCATAAGGTTCCTAAACGGGGCCGCGACGGGGCCTAGGCGGGGCCGTAAGAGGGTACGACGGGGCCGTGAGGGGCCTAAGCGGGGCCGCGAAGGGGCCGTAAGGGGCCTAAGCGGGGCCGCGACGGGGTCGTAAGGGGTCAGACGGGGCCGTGAGGAGCCGTAGAAGGCGGCGCAAGGTGCCGTAAGGGCGGCCAACGGGGGCCACTAAGAGCGGCTCGAGGTGCTACTCGGGTTAGGAGCGAAGCGCGCTTCAGGCAGGGAAGGAAAAAAATTCGTGGTGGGCCCTAGGCAGTATTCCCACTCGGGAACCTGCTCGATACCATGACGAGAAGTGAGAATGGATGAATGAACTATGAAAGAGTTGGGTACAAGTACTAACCCTTATTGGGTTGTACCCCTTATGGGCTACCCCACTACAGCCTACACAAACGTATAAGCTATAATGTTCTGACATATATCTCGACGACATCCTGGTGTACAACAAGACAATACTGGAACAATTACCGGATCTGGAAGAGGTGTTCCGATTCTTAAACAAAAACCACCTCATTACAAAAGGCTCTAAGTGCGAGTTCTTGAAGCTGGAGCTGGAGTTCCTGGGGCACGTGGTTTCGGGCGACGGGATTAAAATTGACCCTCGCAAAATCGACGCCATCACTAAGTGGAAGCCGCCGGCTATCATTACTGAGCTGCCAAGTTTTTTGGGTTTTATTAACTACGCTCGCCGTTTTGTACCTAACATGGCAGGGGTAACCAAGCTGATAACCGACCTACTGCACAAGGACATTCCTTTTAGTGGGGGGAGAGAGAGCAGTCCGCCTTCGACACACTCAAAAACATTTTGAGTTCACCCCCAGTCCTCCGCCTCGCCTACCCATCTCGACCTTTCGAAGTCATCACGAACGCCAGCGATTTCGCTGTTGGCGCCGTCCTACTACAGGACTTCAGTAAAGGGCTGCAACCCATCGCCTACAAATCATGCAAGATGCGGCCGAGCGCAACTACCCGGTCCACGACAAGGAAATGCTGGCCATCGTCTATGCATTTTGTACTTGGTGCTGCTACCTCACGGGAGCCGACGTGACAATCCAAACCGGCCACAAATCGCTACAGTACATGCACACTCAAGTGACACTCAACCTGCGACAAATCCGGTGGTTGGACTACCTCGAGTCCAATTTTTGGTACACTATTACTTATAAGAAAGGCGCCAACAACATCGCCGATGCCTTGACCCACCCATCCATGCAGACCGCATCGGTTCTAATTCTCCACACCAATCCGATGCTGATAGGACTATTTACCCATGGATATAAGATCGACAGGTTTTCAAGAACCTTCACCGACGGGCTACTACGCAACATGGCAACCATTACCTAAAGGTCGGTACGAACCGGATTTGGGTGCCTGCCTACCAACCCTTACGGGAGTTGCTGACGTAGGAGGTACATGACTCCAACCTTTCCGAACATTTCGGCATCGACAAAAGACTCAAGCCGCTGCAGCGAAATTACTACTGGCCCGCCATGTTAGCAGACGTACAGCGCTATGTGACAACAAACCCGACCTGCCAAGCCATGAAGTCGTCGTGAGAACAGCCAGCTGGACTGCTGCAACCCCTCGAGCCACCCGAACGACCGTGGCAATAGGTGACGATGGATTTCGTCACGGGGCTTCCAACCGGCGCAAGTGGCAACGACTCGGTGTTGGTCGACGTTGACCGATTAACGAAATTGGCGCATTTCACACCATACCGAACGACGATCACAGCCGAAGATACAATGAAGCTGTTTATCTCCACCGTTGTATGCCTACATGGGTTACCTTTGGCGATCATCAGCGACCGAGATCCGAAATTCACATCAAAATTCTGGCAAAAGACGTGGGCACAGTACGGCACCCGCCTGCAGTTTTTGTCGTCGTATCACCCGCAAACCGACGGACCCAAAAGCTCCAATCAGACCATGGATCAGCTGATACGCACCAACTGCCCCGACCTAACCAAGTGGGAGGATTTGCTCCTGATGCTGGAGTTTGCGTATAACAACGCACCCTCTGCCACGACCAAACAATCCCCATTTTATTTGAATTACAAGATAGACCCTGTGGTACCCTCTTCAACGTCGCTCGACAACCCGGTGCCACGATCGCATCAGTTTGTCACAGAACTTCAGACCGCCCGTAAAAAGGCAGTTGAATTTATTCGCAAGGCTAATACCACGACCAGATGCAACGCCGACAAGCATCGACGGGATTTACCATTCCGCACTGGGCAAGTGGTACTCCTGGACATGAAAAATCTTCGCCTATCCCAGCCTGCGAAACTACGGCACCGATACGTTGGACCTTTCCGTATTGTCCAAATGGTGACACCTGTCACGGCGAAGTTGCTACTGCCCGACGATTGGAAAATGCATGACGCATTCCATGTCAACTTGCTACGTCCATATGAGCCGCCGCAGTCACTAGCCGTCGCCCGACAGAACATCGCGCCAACCACACAACCTGTGGCAGAGCCCACGCTTGAACCATGGAAGATCTTGAATCAATGGCTACCGGACACAAGGTCATCTTCCTGCTTCGCTGGAAGGATCGCACGAGCGAAGACGACACGTACGTTGCCGCAAACTTGCTACAAGGACATCCAATTGTGGATGTTTACCTGACTCGCCTGTTAGAACAAGTAGCAAGGAATGGCTCAACTATCGACAGAATTGGGTACAAATGTGAAAACCCTAAAGGGGTTGTACCCCACATTGGCTACCCCACTACAACCTACATATAATTATAAAGCATTTATAGTTTGACACACCCCCATAGGCAAAGTGGGTGAAAAGCAAAGCAAGCTCAGGGTGGATCACAAAGTCACCACACACTCCGAGCAAAAGCAAAGGGCCACACGGCCAGTTTACATGCAGAGGTATATATGCAACAACAACAGTACCGTGATCACTACCTAGCAAGAGCAAGCATGAAGGTATATATACATATCACAGTACAAGTAACATCACAAAGTGAGCAAGTGAGACGAAACAGGCACAAGGCCTAATATAGTACAGAAGCGCTGATAATCACCAGACAGTAGTGCCTTGGTGAATATATCAGCAGTGTTCGCCCCGGTGGCTATGTGAGCAAGACGGAGATGACCACGCTGCTGCAACTCTCGAGCCAGAAAATAACGAAGAGCGATGTGCTTTGTTATTTGCTCCAATCTATGCTCCTGACACAAGGCAATGGCGGCCTTGTTGTCGAAGTACAGAACAGGAGGAGAACGAGGCGGCTCTCCCACGCTGGTTAGCAAGCAGATGAGCCAGCGTAGCTCTTGCGCAGCCATGGCTGTGGCGTAGATCTCAGCCTCACAACTGGAGTTGAGAACAAAAGACGAGCAGGTAGACCGCCATGAAACAGAGCCACAGCCAAGGCTGAAAGTGTAACCCTGTGATGACCGCTGCATAGCCAGGTCGTCAACCAAGACGCGTCTGAGTGTCCAGTGAGGACAACCTCACCTCGTCCTCCAAGCACGGGCTCCATACTCGATGTACTGCACAAGTAGCGCAACACCCTCTTAGCAGCCTCCCAGTGTTCTCGTTGGTGTCTCCTAGGCGCAACATAGCAAGCCAGGATGCTAAGAGAGTAGGCAAGGTCAGATTGAGTGCAGGTCATCAGGTACATAAGGCAGCCCACAAACTCTGGATACGGGCCACTCGGCTCTACGGACTCGTCTGAAGGTGGAGCTGAGAGCGGTTGACCGGTAGCCATAAGAGTGGACTGCGGCAAGGACCAAGTGAAGTCGAAGTGCTGAAGGAACTGCTGCATCATGTGTGACTGAGTCAGGGTGATGGTGCGTCGTGCTCTATCCCGGGTGATCTGCAAGCCAAGGTAGCTGCGCAACTCACCCAGGTCTGTGCACGTGTGTCTCTTCTGCGGCAGCGACTTCACTAGGGTGAGTGCCTCAATGTTAGAAGTACCAAAGACCAAGTCGGCGACGTACACGAAGATGTAGAACGGCGACAGTAAAGTGTCGGTGCGTAGAAACAGCGACGGGTCAGCAGTGGAAGGGGCAAACCCAAGAGCCGCAAGTATCGTCCTCAGTGTGTCGTGCCACTCACAAGGCGCTTAACGGAGACCGTAGACTAGCTGACGGAGGCTACACTGGGTGCCAGGAGGGAATGACCCGGTGAAGCTAGGTGGGCGGCACAGCCAGATCTCCTCATGGAGACTGTCTCGTAAGAACGCTGTGATGAAGTCCAGGGAGTGAAGCTCGTAGTCACGCTGAGCGGC